CCAACACACAGATCTGTCCAAACAGCTTGAAAAGTAGATTTTTTACCATAGGTGCCCTTTAAGTCATCCTTATTTATCTAGTGCTTTTACAATGTAAATTGTGTCAAAGCCACTTAACATAGAAGTTAAAGTAAATTTAAACTGTCAGTCCAGTTTTCAGAGTTTCTTACATAATTGATCATAAAAGTCATTTTGGTCATATTGATCAGACACAGATTTGAAAGCTGTAAATGGCCTATTTTTATTCCTATATATTCACAATTACAACAAAACGTTTTTCTAAAATGTGTAAAGCAGACAGGGAATACTTGTATATTCTGTGCCTGACTGAAAAAAGTTATTGGGTAACAGCTGAACAAACAGCTGAATTTTTGCCTTGCAGACATGAGACATGCCTGTCAGCATCTGCATAAAGCAGGGGTTCTCAACCTTTTGCAAGCTGGGCCCTCCCAAAGCCGCTTTATTGCAGCTAGGGCCCCAGTGACTCAGAGAGGGTACAAGGACCTTACATTTTTGAGACTTGCTTAGCTTCTCGAAGAGAAATCAAACAAATGAGCGCTTTCTAAAGTCTATGAGCACAGCACACACAAATAAACTAAATTGACATACTGCAGTTATATTTCGAAATGTGTTTTTTTTAATATTTATAACATTTGAATACAGTTCAGCAACATACATCACACAACCTGACGACAAAGGGAGCTGACAATTAAACATCACTAAATTTACCATCACCTCAAGATTGAAAATTTTACACTGATTTCATACAGGGTTCATACAGACACAGCCTAATGAAAATCAAAGACTTTTAGGCACTTTTTCCAGCATCTACTTTTATTTTCGAAACTGACATGCAATGTATTGAACACCTGAAATGTATTCTCAGCAACCTATAAAACATTGCATAGGAACTATTAGCAAATTATTGTTATAATAAAATAAATGATGTAGCCTTCCCAGTATAAAATAACAGTAGCAGACCTAACTTTATAGCTACAGCTCGGCAGAGTCAGCACAGGTGTAAAAACAGGTGGTTTTATTCCTGATGAGAATATTTATTGTTGTCAGACTTCACTCTCACATAAATACACTTAAATAAATCAATCAAAACTCATAGCTAATCAGGATAGCCTGTGCGTGTAGGGGGAGAGTCAGAGGAGGGTAAGGTCAGTAAAAATTAGCATAAAAAAGGGAGTGTCCGTTTTGGGCACGTGCTGATTTTCACAGAGGCAAAACAAACACACAGATGCAGAGGAGAAAGTCAGTGACTGTGTTTACATGGACATCAGTAATCGAATTATTTGCCAAATTATTAAATGCTAGATTTTAATTGCAGTTTGGCTCTTTCATTCAGGAATTTCATTCGTGCCTGGTGACAAACGAGATATTTGATTCGAGGAATTGCTGGAAGCGTGTATCTTTCATGCAATGTTTGTTGCAAAAAAAAAATCCTTCACATTTCTCTGTAACTTAGATGCACTTGGTAGGTAGCGTCAGAAAGCCATGTATGTTATTCCTGTCACAAAATGCGGGTGTAAGTTTGATTGTGGTGCTAACATGTTTACACTCGGAGAGCAGCATTTACAGTGGATTTTTCAGTACATAATATTGTATATATATTATCGTACGGTAAACTTTATTAACTTAGAAACCATTTGACTAAGGTCTGTCTCTAAACACTGAAAGAGTACTGCTGACGAACTAACTTTGCCTCTGAATAAACAAACAAAAACCACTGGTCGCTCACTTAACAAATCTGTAGAGACAGGACAATCAACACATACTGGAGCTCTGTCTTTTATTAAAGGAGACGAGCAGCAAATCTGGATTTCACCATTTTCAGATGAGAAAAGCTATCGGGTAAAAAATGTTCCTTAGACACACATTTCTGTCACGCGTCGCGTGCAGCATAATCCACACGTGAGTCCAGCTACGCTATCATAGAGGGAAAATAAAAACAAAACCTTCACTGCAGCAAATTATAAAACGCAACACTGACGACCAAATATTTCTTGTTCTCCCACTTGGCAACACAACGTTTTAGATAGAATTTTAGATAGTAAATTTAACTACCTTAGAGTTAAAATTAACACTCCCTCAGAGTTTATATGGGAACCACTATAAGTGTTAAAAATAACACTTTTGAAAGTGTTAACATTGTCAACACCAACAGAGTGTTAATTAGCAAACTCTTATTGTGTAAATATCTGTTAAATTTCCGAAAAAATACCAGCAGCTGTGGTTGCCAGAATCTTTCTGTGAAAAACATGGAAGTTTTATAGAACTGTATAAATTTACAAAAAATAACCATATTTCATGAACTAATACAATGTTCAGTTTACAAAATCATTGCTTAGTAGAAAAAAATGTAAAGTCTTTAGATGCAATAATGTTTTCATGTGTGATTGCAATTAGCAAACAGATTTTGACTGCATTAGTAACTACACAGTTACCTTTATAGAAAAGAAGATACAGCATAACATCAAATACTCTCAGTTCATCTTGGACTTGAACAGAGACACTATTATCCTCCACAATGGTAACACAAAAACTGTTTAGCTGTTTTTCTTTTTTTTTTTTTTTCATTTTTAGATTTTACGGAAAAATACCAGCAACTGTGGTTGCCAGTAATCTGCTGTTTTTAACATTCATAAATTCAGTTTACAGAATATTTCTGTTAAAAACACATTCAACAGTCTGTATTTTTATCGATCTCACACTGCAAATTTTAGATTTAGTAGATTTAACTACCTTAGAGTTAAAATTAACACTCCCTCAGTGTTTATATGGGAACCACTGTAAGTGTTAAAATAACACTTTTGAAAGTGTTAAAATTAAAATTTAATTACCCAGAGTGTTAATTAGCAAACTCTTATTGTGTAAAATATCTGTTAAATGTATGTCAAAATACTGGCAGCAGTGGTTGCCAGTAATCTGCTGTTTTCAACATTTTACATTTGTAAATTCAGTTTCCAGAATATTTCTGTTAAAAACAAATCCCATAGTCTGTATTTTTCATTCGAACACACGTAAGCCTTAAATTCCAGAGCAAAATCCTCACTAGTGTCCTCACTACAGAGGGCTGAACACTCAGACAGTGATGAAGTTAATGAGACAATTAAGTGTCTAATTAAAGGAGGATTGAGAATTATTGATGAACAACTGTTAACAGCAGAATCACTGAAGGACAGAAAAACACAAGCCAAAACCAAAGATGAAATCAACTGAGAGAAAAAAAAAACTCTAAATAAAATAATAATCAATAAAAATAAAACAAATTACACAATTTTTTTTATTTTTCAACATCTTTAAAAAAACTCATCAAATTAAACAACTTATCATGGAGCTTCACCTATTACTGAGGTGATAGGCTGCACCTATTTTATTTCTGTCATGTGAACAAAAGCTCTTAATGAAATTTCCGTTGTTCATTTGAAGTCACCATGATGGAGGACAGAGTCTGCTTTAGTCAGGCTCTTCAACTTCTTACTATAAATGTCTTTTATTTTGGCTGCTATAGTTAGTGTTAATTACGCTAATTATACATATAGCATGGAAAGCTGAAAAAAAATTAAAGTGTTGGTCTGAAGAGATTATTTATGATAACATAGCCATCCTTTCCTGCTTGATTTTTAATTCAGTATCATATTAATTATGTGTGAGAAATAAATAATATACATAAATGAAACCAATAAAGCTCCAATAATATAAAATAAAAACACTATTTACAATGAGAATGTTTGATCTATGGCAGAACTTAAAAACACACAGACATCAACAATTAGTCTTTGAATCTCAATAATGGTGACAAACAAAAAAATAAAAATCAAGTAAAAAAAAAAAAACACTACTGAAATATCACCTCCCAAAAACAACACAAAATAAAGGAAAAGAAAGAGATTGTAAAAACATAAAGCTGCATAATTTATTCATGCTGCAATGCATGCTGGGAGCTTTGTACTATGCTGGCACCCAGCATGCATTGCGGCATGAACTATGAAGCTTTTTTTTTTAGCAACCACAGTTGAGGTTCATATCCTGATTCTTGAAGCCTGTGTGTCATAAAGCGCAAGCCGGAGCTTGAATTTTTAGTGCATGACACTCTAATTATTAATTGGTTCCAATTGTTTGTTGAATCTTCTATGAAGAGCAGCAGACTGCCAGTAGTATTGTCCCATGCAGTTTTAATGCAACTATATTTGCATATTTTATGAATCAACTTATTAAACACTTGAAATTAAATCTATAACAATTAAGCACAAACTGTATAGTTTCTCTTGACCTTTCTTGCTATAGTTAATGAGTTTTAGAAATACAGCTATAACAGTCGGAGAAACATTAGGATATAAGAGTAAAGCTTCAAGAGCTCAACTAAGCAGCCTCTGATCTCTATGATGGTGAGGTCAAATGAAATATTGTTAATAAAAAAAATATAAACCTCTGTTCATTGTAAAATATTTTTACAGAAATGAAGTCAAACTGTAATCAATGAAGCTGCTTATACTATTATTTAATTAAGTTGTTTAATCCTCTGTTTTAATTCAGTTGGTTTGGTGTGAGGCTGTGTCTGTAGTTTTATTTCTTCCTTCAATTTCTTATTCCTTCAGTGATTGTGCTTGTTAACAGCAGGTGTTCCACAGCAGGTGTCTCAATTCACTTATTTGTGGTCATTCCCTCTGACTAGTGGACTAAACTAATTGACTAATTTAAGGGCCAGGTGAATGAGGGTGTGGCGAGATTTCAGACACTCTGATTAGTTTCTCAAATATAAGGGTTTTCTACAAAGGTAGATACATGTTACTCTGTGTGACAAGGAGGCAAATCAGCTTCTAACGCAGAGAGGGTTATTTTACCTTTATCTAACTCTAGA